GGCCATTTTTTACTTTAGTAAAAAATCCTAGAAATTCTACAAATGCTTTAGCTGTATGTAATTGGTGTATAACTAAACATGGTGGTTTAGGAGCAGCTCAAGCTAAATCTGAATGTTATACTGCAAATAGAGCGCGCCTTTATCGTAGTCATTTAGCGAAATGTCTAAATTTTCGTGAATATAATACCAATGAAGAGGTGCAAAGAATTTTATCTTTACCGGTGCCAGAAGATAAAAAAAAGCGTAAAGTGCCAAGTGAAGAAGATGATGGTATATATTTTGTAATTTTAATTTTAATAATTTTAATATTTATATTAAATAATTTATATATATTATCAGATAATAACAGTATTGAAATTAATGGATTTAAATGACGAAAGCTTTCAACTTCCTCAACAATAACTTCTCAATCATCAATAACTAACTTTTATCATCGATCATTATCATTAAACGATATGTCATTATTTGAAATTTTATTGCTTCGTTTAATTGTATCAAATGGCTTACCTTTTACATTTGTTGAGAATGAAGAAACTATTGCTATTTTTCAGTTTATTGCACCTGGAATTAAATTACCAAAGCGAAAAGCTATAAGTGGAAGAGTGTTGGAAAAAAGTTTCGAAACATTACAAGAAAATATAATTAAAGTTGCTAAAGATGATCAAGATGGTGTAACTGTTACATTTGATGGTTGGACAAATGTAAAGCAAGAACATATATGGGGAGTGATACTTATAACTACATCGGGACAACCATTAGTCTGGGATGCATATGATATAAGCGCAGAAAGATCTAAAACAGAAGACGTTATTAGGCATATTGAAAACTTGATATCCGAAACTAATAAAGAGCATATCAACATTAAAGCTTTTATTTCTGATTCAGCAGGAGAATATGCTGCTGCTCGGTATGTTATATATGTAAATTTTTTTTAATTAATTCATTTTATACAATTTTAATATTTTTATATTAGACGCCAATTGCGAAGGAAATATCCATCCAAAATCTTTTTACCATGCATGGCCCATCAAATGAATTTAATTTTTGAAGAAATATTTAAGGAATCTGAATTATATCAAAGAACATCTAAAGAAGCAATTCGGATTGTTAGTTTTTTTCACAATTCAACTTTTTTTACTGGGAATCTTAGAGATGAACAGATGCGTATATATAAAAAAACCATTACATTAGTTACACCCGGAGATACCAGATGGAACTCTTATTATTTTTGTTTTCATTCTATTTTGAAAACAAAATCTGCACTCAAGGTATGCAATTATATTTATTTCCTGCAATATTTTAGCTTAAAATATAAAAACCAAATTAATCAATTTTTTTGTAATCTAATAATAGTTTCTTTCAGCAAAATTTAATGATAATCGAACAAATGTAACAAGAACTAATGGTGTTCCAAATATACCAGCAAATAAAAAATCAACTTATCGAGGTGGTGGCCGAAAACTTCCTGATGATATTGCTGATATAATTAATGACTCAGAATTTTGGACTACATTGTTTGATTTTCAAAGCCTATTATATCC